AAAGGAAAGGAAAGGGGAAAGCCCCACTCACTCAGGGATGGTCTTGGACGACATCTCCCTCTTGTAGGCCAGCTGGTACTTGAGGCTTTCCACCTCTTTTTTCCATTGTGGGAGATCCCACTCGTCCATGGCGCTCTCCGAGGGCTCCGTTGGGCTGGGAACGGGGATTTGGGAGCCTGCTCCTGCCCTGATCCCCCCAGGGCACCCCAAAGGCTCCCCCAGGAGTGTGGCAGGCTCCGGGGGAGGTTCCCGAGCCCTCAGCAGAGCAGCCCAGGGCTCCCGGAGCTTTGGGGGCTGCTGTGGTGGGGGCAGGGGCTGCCCTGTGCCCCTCCCATGCAAAGCGCGGGGGTTGAGGCGGATTTGGCTGAAATTTGGGTGGGGAGCAGCGAACAGCAGCCAGAGGCTGCCGGGGAAGAGGGGGGTTTGTTCTTTCCCTGCCTGGTCACAGCTCTGAAGGGACCAGGAGGGATTTGGGGAGCAGCAAACCCCTCTGTGCCCCCCCACCCCACACTGGGGCAGGACGGGCGTGATGGGGAAACTGAGGCACGGCAGCTGAGGGGGCTCCAAAAGCAGCCCCTGGCCCCGGTGTCACCCCAAAACCGGGTGGCACAAGGAGCCATCCCCCATCCCCAGGGCGATGAACCCAGGGATGCCCCAGATCCTGGGAAAAAGGGCAGGGAAAGGCTGGAGCTGCTGGGAGGGCGAAATCCTCCCATCCCAACCCCGCTCCATCCCAGCTGTGACATCCCAAAAACTCCAGCCGGGAATGGGATCAGCCCCTTCCCCTCTCCATCCCAGCTGTGAGATCCCAAAAACTCCAGCCGGGAATGGGATCAGCCCCTTTCCCGCTCCATCCCAGCTGTGACATCCCAAAAACTCCAGCCAGGAATGGGATCAGCCCCTTTCCCGCTCCATCCCAGCTGTGACATCCCAAAAATTCCAGCCAGGAATGGGATCAGCCCCGTCCCCTGTCCCGCTCCATCCCGTCCCCACCTGGTTTGGGAATTCCGGCAGCAGAGAGAAATGGGGCCGCTCCTGCAGCCCTGGCAGTGCCCGTGCTCCTCCCGCGAGCTCTTTCCTGGCTCCTGGCGATCCCAAAAGCTCGGGATAATCTATTAATGCACGGCTGGGGCGGCAGGAGCCGGATCATGGGAGAATCCTCCCCCCGCCGCTCCCGGGGGATTTGGATCCGCTGGAGAGCCCGGGGATGGAGGCGAGTCCTGGTACCCGGCTCTGGAACGGGATTATCCCAGATCCAGGACTCTGGAATGGGGTTATCCCGGGTCCAGGGCTCTGGAATGGGGTTATCCCAGATCCAGGGCTCTGGAATGGGGTTATCCCAGATCCAGGACTCTGGAATGGGGTTATCCCGGTTCCAAGGCTCTGGATTTGGGTTATCCCGGCTCCACCAGGATCGTGAGGGTCCCAGAGAGGAGGGGATGTGTGGGGGACATTCCCAGGAAGGCGCTGGATCCCGGCCCTGGTCCCTTCCCGCATCCCGTCCTGTATCCCTGCCCCAGTTCCTTCCCGGATCATTTCCTGATCCCTTCCCGTATCCCTGTCCCGCATCCCTGCCCCAATTCCTGCCCCGATCCCTTCCCGAATCTCTGCTCCGATCCTTTCCCGAATTTCTGACCCAATCCTTGCCTCGATCCCTGCCCCGGATCCTTTCCCGAATCCCTACCCCAATTCCTGCCCTGATCCCTTTCCAAATCCCTGGCCCATCCCTGCTCAAATCCCTTCCCTGATTCTTTTCTGAATTCCTGCCCTGATCCCTTTTCCCCAATCCCTGCCCCGATTCCTTTCCCGGTTTTCCCGCTCTGTTCCCTCCTGGATTTTGTGTCTCTTTCCCCTTCCCGGGTGCTGGAGGAGTTGGAGAAGTTGGGAATAATAATGATTTTAAAAAGCGGGAAATAAAAGAAGGAGAATTGGTAAAAGTGAGCAGCTGGGACGGAACAGGGCAGGGGAAAAGGGCAGCAATAAAAATATAAAATTATTGATGGGGGATTTGTAGGGAAGGAAAAAAACAACCAAAAATCCTCAGCAGTTGGGAGCTGATTAAAGCCAAAAGAATCCATGGAAAACCAGAGGTGGGATCCCCCTGCCTTCATTAAACCAATAAAAATTAACTTCGGGTAAAAGTTGTTGCTTAAAAAAAAACAAACAAACCCCAGCCGAGGTTTGCACAAAGCAAATCCCACCCAAATCCTGGCCCGGGGCTCCTCCTTCCCCCGGAGAAATAAATATTGAATATTTCTAGAAATAGAAATCATGGGATTATGTGTTTAATATTGGATTTTGGATTATTTCTGCATCTGGGCTGCGCTGATCCCAGCCAGACAAATGGGGCTGAATTCCTGAATTCTCTGGGGGAGAGAGGAGATGAAGGTGAAATAGAAATTAAAAAAAAAAGATAAAAAATAATTAGTCAGTAGTGGAAGAATTATTCTCAATTAATAAATAATAAACATGTTATATAATAAATAAAATGATATATCGTAAGTAAAAATATTATGTATAACAATAATCAGTAATCATTATTAAATAATAACAAATCTACAATTTATATCTTATATATATATAACATATATCTAAGAGCATAAGATCATAGAATTATTTTATGATCTATAAGTACAAGATATTGATCTATATATCATTATATACCTATAAATAGGATAGAATAAATAATATTATAAATATAGATAATGATACAGGAGAATATCTGTATTCGTATGTTTTATTTATATAGATAAGAGCATCATGG